ATTTATATGGCAGAGTTAGGGTCTCTAGTGATTTTGGGATTTGAGCCGCTCTCTCACTCCAAAAAAAAAAAAAAAGTAAAAGAAAAAATAAATTAGCTAGCCCAAGGTCCAGGGAACAGGTTGGCATGGGGTCGTTCACTAGTGGAGGGGTTTCGCTGAAAAAAAATAAGTTCGCAACATTTGAAACCAAATCCAACGTGGGTAACAGAAATCCAGCATCTACACGGAGGGTATTAGTGGGATTGAGAAGGGCTATAAACCCTTGTGCTTCTAAGCAAAAGTCAACTTGTAAGCGGTGGTAAGAAAACGGAAGAGCCTTCATTTTGACAGCAAATGCCAGATATCTCTAGAAGAGGGGCTCTTCCAGCTGTGCTGCATACGGCTGACACTGGCTGCCCTCCTAAAAGGCCTGCTGGACTACCTGGGTGGGCATGTGCTTTTGATGCACAACAACAAGTCTTGCTCACCTTGCAGAAATTCAGATTCCTTATCCCCACCCGGTTTTATCCCTGAAGAACAAAACGTTGAGGTAGTGTCAGGCAGACGTTTCTAGAGCTCCCTTTGGAAGAGATCAATACCCATTTGTTACCATCCTACCGTGATTACTTTGGCGGTGCAAATTCAAGGTTGTTCAGGCCCTGCCTGATGGAAACAGCCTGGATCTGTTCAGATGCAAACAGGCAGCTTTGATGAGAGCTCATTCTAGGCACATGAGAAAGATTGCATTGTTGTTCAGACGGAATGATTTGAATTTTTATATTCACCCCTGATGGTGAGTTCATTCAGAATTTGTCCGAGTTGTTATGACTTTATTTGCATGTCTCATTAATACTGGCGGTTTAGGTGATTTCAATAGCTGAGAATGATTTGAAAGTCTCATTAATGATGTTTTCTTCATGTAAATATATGCAAAGGTTCGTAATAAGGAAGCTTGGTTCTCTCCTTACAGTAGTTGCACTGATCTAAATCGTCAACTGCTCCAAAAGAGAAGAGTGGGCTTTCCTAAGCCTGGAGCTACCAGGGGATGGGAGTCCCACATATAATGTAGAATAAAAACATATCTACACTGCTGCTTTCAGCCCAGTTCTGAGATGGCCAAAGTAGGTCATGTCCTGGAAGCAGCATAGGACTCATTATCCCTGCTGAGACCCTAGGGGAATTAACCCCAGGTAAATATGCTATGGTGGCTACCCTGCCACAGCAATCGCTGCTGACTTGGATTTCTTGGCACAGGCTGGAGACCCCAGTGAAGACACGTGTTCAGAGCATCCTGTCTGAAGTTCTGGCAAACAGAGTGGTGTAGCCAGCAGCTACAACAAACGGCCCAGCCCACCTCTGCTCTCATGCTGACATCTCCTCTCCCTGTCCCTTGACCATGCTTAGAGATCTCAGGGATCTCAGCTGGCCTATCTGTTTTGGGGTGAGAATCCCATAACCCGAGTGACCTGAGATCAACACAGATTGCCCTCATATTGCAAAGACCACTAATGCTCTGGGAGAGCAAAATTCAGCCAGTGGTTGGGCTTCGCGTTCCCCCCTCAGAGTGGGATCATGTAGGCAATGAAGGGCAGCAGACTGTGCGGTCAGATGGTATCTCTATCAAGACACACAACGGGATGTGTGTCTTGATCTGCAGAGAAGAATAAAAAGAATGAATCGTTCAGTGCCCATTGGCTGCTGATTAAACAACTGCCATGGACTCTGCCCAGGGCATCAGCTACAGGCAGTACACAGCAAACTTTTATGCCGTTGTTTTGGATCCTTGGCCTACTCCATTACTAACCCTCCTTGTAGGAAATTTCCCTTTCTCATTTACAATTAGCCATTCCCATTCCTCCGAGCCCTAAAGCAGACTGAAGCATTATGCTGGGTGATTGTTGATATTCCATCTTTCCCATTTCCAAGGCACAGAGGAATTGAAGACTTAGTTATATTACCGTTTTAGTGTCCTGCTGCATACTATCATTTCTCTTTCTTCTACCTGCAGACACCAAGGAGACTAACAAGGGAACAACAGAGAGGATAGGCAGGATCTAGTGGGTGAAATATGGCTGAGATGTCAAAAGCACCAGACCAACACTTTATATCATAAAAGCATTTACACTCCGTTTTGTAACACACAGCAGGATGCAAGGGGAGGAGTGCGGGTTAGCCACCAGTACGTGGTGAAGATTTCTCAGTACCTGTCTCACTGGTTAGGACCCCCTGGTAATATCTACCTGACACTTACTGCAGCCTGTCTTTGTTGCAGTTGTTTCTGCATTTTGCTGGATGAACTGAGGAAGCCTTCGGTATGAATCCAGACTTCACATGGCCTAGAATGGGCTATCAACTCCAACTCCTGTCTATGGGGCAGGACTGTCAAAGTGCTTCTTGCCTATACAGTTTGTCCTGGTTCGAGATGAGAATCTGCATCACCCACACCATGCACACTGGGTGTTCGAGATCCCAATGCAATTGTGTTGTACAGTACAGTCTTTCCGGGAAAGAAACCTGGGAGGGCATATGCTGGTGGAAATCAGCACCGAATTTCACTTGCTGTGATTTCCAAGACCAGGCCAAAGGGTACGGTGAGGATGATAGCCTGAGAATGATAGCCCAGGGTTTGACATTTGCTCTGCTGCTGATTTCCTGGGTAGCCTCAAATAGTCCTGAAGGTCCAGAGCCACAAAAGTTAAACTCTTTTCAGCATTTCGTGTTCTTTGGGGATATTTTCAAAATCAGGACAGGTGACTGGATTCTTTGTGCAGCTCCTTTATCCTTGCAATCAATTTATGGCAATTAGCCATCCTGGATGGAGGAGGGGTCACTACCCACAAAGTGTCATGGCAGACCAGTTGTTAAACCTTCTATTTCTCTTTTCAGATCTCCTCACTGCCCCCAAGCCCTCCTGACCCACGGCTGCTTAACACAACCTGGGCTCCCACATATTCACCCTGGCCCTCCCACAGCCCCCATCCTCACAAAGCACTACTGAACCCTACAGACTGGAGTGATGGCTATTTTCCCTCTGGGTATGGCCTCCATCTCACTGAAGCAGGGGCATATTTATTAAGGGCATCCTCATTACTGGCTGAAGAGCAACCGCAAAGGAAAGTAAACGCCACCTTTCTGGCTTCAGCCCCTTTGGCAGTGGGGGAAGACCGCTGTTGCTTTAGTGAAGAAGGGTGAAGGCAAACTTACGCAGTGGCTGCACACCGTGAAGCTAATTACCAGCCCAGCGTTTCCTGTGTTTTAGTCCTGGAGACTCTGCAATCCCCAGGTGATGCATGTTGTGGCTGGAGTTAGCCCTTGGATCATCTATCCCCCAGCTCAGAAAAAAATCCTGTTAAATGTAGTCCTCAAATTGAGGGCATATTAGATATTACACTGACAAAAACGAGCATGAGGTGCTTTAGAAATGTATCTAAGAAGGGAAGTGACTGGCACTCAGATGGGTTTCACTGTATACTTTTTTTTCTGTCTTTTTGCCGTGTGCTTTTAGGAGGATGAATTGCTGTGTGGCAAAGTTGAAAGACTTGTAGTAAAACGATCTTGCCTCAAATCTCTTTCCTTCCACAGAAACCCCTGCATATTGCAGTGAGAGTCATCCTGTTTTCCTAGGCTTGTTTTCCCTCCTGTAAAATAAAGATTAATAACTTTTGGAGCAGACTCCTTCTCTTCCTGTGTTTCAACATTGCCTGCTGCAACAGAGCCCTGATATCACAGTCATTAAATGTTATTATGATCTTCTAAAGAAGAATGAAAGATTCTTCAGGACATAATGAAGAGTACAGCATGTCTCTTCTAATAGTGAAATAGAAAAACAACAGCCTGAGAACTTTTTCTGTTGGTCCTGCAGATTGTACAGATTATTTTGTACTGCATTCCTGAACCCGTAGCTGCTCCTCCCCGTTCTGTTCACTGTGTCAAGAAGCAAACCACAGCTGGGTTGCACACACCAGTATTTTTAATATAACCTCGTGTGTGGTAA